ATATATATGAAGTTATTTTATTTTCATCTATATTGTTAATGTAGGAAAAATATGATGAACTTTTAATGGGCAATGCTAGTGGTAGTGATGGTCCTGCAAGTGCGTCTGAGCTAGCAGTTGACAGTTTGCCATTATGGGTGGAGGCAACGGGTGGGGTGAAAAAAGGAAAAATATTTGGGATGGGATCCTTGTCAAGGATGTTCATGCCGAATCAAGCTGGAACTTCATCATCCAATGCGACTAGTCGAAGGAGGACACGACATGACGAGCAATTGACCCAAGAAGTGAACCAACTGAAAAATATAATTGTAGAGAGGGACGAAGAAATAAATGACTTGAAACAGCAAATGCAAATCGTTATGCGACACCTCAACATCAATCGCGGTGAGGTTCCTCCTGTACCCCCTGCTAATCCAATAGGTGATGGGCACAATGATGAGTGACACAATGATGCTGACATTGATGATGATGCTGATGATTTTTTCGGTCATTTCTAGTTAAAATTGCCAAAATCAGGGGTAAGCTTGCTTCACAATCTTATATGACATAAGTGCAGTTTCACCCAATTTGTTTCTGCCCTACAATTACTTTTTGTGCACAACTTTCTTACTGACAGGTTCAACGATCTAATTTTTCCTATGTGACAGAAATACGGTTTACAATGGTGAAAAAACTACAGTGGATGTCAAAGTTGACTCATACTCATATGTAAGAACATTGATGTTCGTCCTGAAACGTTTTTTTGTTAACCATCTTACTTGTTTTTTTATACCTAGTTCCACATCCATGCATAAGCACTTCTTTTATATTATTGACTGATTGAATATCTTTATTTATGTATCTACATTTCATCAGGTATCGACAAAAGTGACTGCTTTTGGTGTCCTGCCAAGTACCACAGCTGCCTAATCTTGTGTCTGGTTTGTCGATTTTTCGTTTTCTAAGCAGAATCTATGGTTGTCCCGCCTCCTATAAATGTTTTGAATGTATTATAAGATTTGATATCAAATATCATCGTGTCAGGCTTTGCAACTTTGCATATATCATTATTTTTTGCGGACTAGCATCTTTCCTTCAGTTACATTTTTCAATTATATGGCATTGTGTCTGGTTTGTTCGTTTTCTGTTTCTAAAGCGGAATCTATGGTTTTCTCGTGTCCTTTGATTGTTTTCAATGTATTACATGATGTTCATTAATGCGTAGCAATTGATATGGACAAGATTTGATGGCCGAAATGCTGTAAAATTTGCGACGAATATTTATATACGAATTTTGCGACCATTACAGTTCGTGGCTAATTTGCGACGAATAAGTAGCGATGAATTAAGTTCGTGCCTAATTTCCGTCCAATACATTTTGCAACGGATTTTGCGACGAATAAAGTTCGTGGCTAATTTGCGACGAATTTTGTGACGGATTTTGTGACGGATTTTGCGACAAATTTTGCGACGGATTTTGCGACGAAATTTGCGACGAATTTTGCGACGAATTTTGCGACGAAATATTTGCGACGAACTTTGCGACGGATAGTGTTCGTGGCTAGTTTGCGACGATTTTTGCGACGAATTTTTTTTCCGTCGCAAATTTGCGACGACCTAGTAGCGACGGAATTTTTTCCGTTGCAAAAACGATTTGCGACGGATTTTTGCAATTTTTTCGTCGCAAAATCCGTCGCAAAAAACATGTTTTTTTGTAGTGTGCATTAAGTAGTAATTGATTATTAAAAATGAACCTTCTACTTTTAAACATTCTAATTCTCTCAATATGATTGTGGATTCTATGGTGTTGCGCCTAATCAAATTCATTTCATAATGTCTAGAGTTAGACATCATCAAACATTTCACACTAAAAATATTCTATTGTGTTGTGTGTAACCGAACTAGTGCGTTATCTATATGAATCATGATATCGTTAGTACAGAAATTCTAATTTGCAAACTACCAAAAAAACAGTCAATAATTTCATAAAAGTATTGGAACATTACCAACAGGTTATCTAAAGAAAAGTTACGAATAATTTTTTTATCAATCGTTTTTTTAATACTTACCGGCACTTATTGAAACTTACCGGCACAAGAAAGATCTGTATATTTTGGCACGGAGAAATAGATTTCTGCATCTTCAGTTGGGCAATCTCTTACCACTTGAGGATTGAATTGCAAGTCCATTTAGTTGCGTAGAAGCATCACTTGTCCCTTAAGTTTCGCTATATTTGATAAATTATATAGGTTTTAAGATTTGGTAATATATATATATATATATATATATATATATATATATATATATATATATATATATATATATATATAGTCATCGTAGATAAAATTTGATCGGGTTGATTAGTCTAAATTATTTTGAACATAGTTTTGCTTGTGTTAATAAAATTGCAATTATTGTTCAAAACTCAGTTTTACATAATGTGTTATATGTAAATTTCCACCCATTTTTACTTAAAAGTTTAAGACAATGAGTTATGCGTGAATTAAAAATATTAATTACTCTACACTGCACCAAATTTCTGACGCAGGATTTTTTTAATACAACTCACATGTTTTAATTTTACTTTCCAACCCAAGTTGCTTGCTATGAAGATCATTAATACAAAGATGTAAGACAGATTGATATGGTGGATTCTATACTGCCATGAGCTTAAAAATTGGAACGCATCCTTTTGAAATTTGAACCTTTAGTGAATGGAATAAAGTGCACTATCGGGATCGTGTGGAACAAAAGGGCCACTGAATACCGTTAGGAAGTACCTTTTTATGTCGGGAAAGCCCAACTTAGGCAAGTCAATCTTGGGTCTATGAAATATAACCACATTGATCATATAAGCCGCGAGCCAAACATGAACAATCGGATTTGTACCGTGTCCGTCTAATCCAAACACGCATCTTCCAATAGTACTATCAGCTCGAATTTAAGTCACCCACTCACATGAGACCCACATCCGGATTCTTATATTTCTTATCATCGAAAAGAAGAAAATTAGCTTTGGTAGATGACCATTTCCGCGAGTATTTTGCAATAAGTTCCCAGCCATAACGAGATCAGACAAGTGCACAATGAACAGCTCATCCTTTCCCGATTAAGGGCAAGCTGCTAGCAAAGAGAGAGATCAGACAAGGACTACACCTTGTGCGGGACTCCATGACTACTTATAGGCATGGACTGTCGTGGTTGGACTTAAACGTCAACTCCTTTTTCTTGGCCTTTTCTGGAAGCAGAGACAAGACCAAAGCAAAACACTTTCAGGTTTGTGACGAGGACAGGGATGCCCGAAAGATCCAAAACCAGAGAGACTCGAATGCAAAGACTTAAATGTCCAGAGAGGAATCTCCACCTGTCTTGTCTCCTCCATTCTCATTGATTATTAACATAGGGCAGCACCAACCAACCCTATGCATACCCCCATCGACATTAAATAAGAATAAATTGCACCCAAAAAAGAAGAAGAAGAAGAAACAGAAGACATTGAGAGACACCAAACGCTGTTTCTGTTTTCTTCTCATTTTTCACTTCGAAAAATGAAAATAACAGGTTGTGGTTAATAAATGGCTCGAGAGACTTGCTAAGCATATTCTGTAAGGAAAAAATATTGTGGAAAATCAAAATATCAAGCACACGTGACCTGAGGAAAAGTAGTGAATTGGAAGCTGCAAATTGTTTTTTTATTTGATTGTTTAAGAAATATCTTAAGGGTACTCGTTAGCAATGTTATCGTACTAAACTGAGGGCCAGACAAAATCCAGATAGACATTGTATTCCATTAGAAAAGATGGCAAATCAATTCATTCAATGATAGTGCACATGGGAGTGGGGTAGTCGATAATTATCTTCTGTCAATACAATGCCTCAAGCTTGTATGATCATTTTTCCAAGATCCAAATGTGGAGAAAAGGGTAGAGGCTTCGTTTGTTTTGTAGAAAATGAATAAATATTTTTCTAAAAATAATAGTTTGTATTGATTAAAATAATTAGTCAAATAAAAATATTTCACTATCGACAATAATTTATGTATAAACATTTTCGTGAATTCATTTTTGTAAGCGATAAAGCGATCATTATTTGAAAAACATTCATTTTTTTCGAAATAAACGAAGCTAAAGAAATGCAAGTGAGAAATTATGTATTTAGAAAATTGAATTCGTTTTATTATGAAGGGTTTGAAAAAGTTGAAGAGGGTAATGGCAAAATATTAGATTTTAAGCACGGTGGGTCGAATTTGGCTGAAAAGACGTTAGGTGTAACTTCTATCTCGTACCCAACAAGCTGTTGTCCTACTCATGGAGGACAAGAAGCATAAAAGAGACCCATGAAAGAAGGAAAAACAGCCACCCAAATCTTACACTTCACTGAACCATTCAAATTCAATTGATCATAACAAACTGTAAGCTTCAATGTGACGTGACTTCTTTGGCTTAAAGGCAAAACCATGACATGACTTCCAAACTGTAGTTGCTCCCATGGATGGAAAAATAGATTATTAACCAACAATCGCAAAAGAAAAAAAAAAACTCGTTATATTGTGCTACTTAATCCAGGACCAATTGGCATAAGACTGCTATCATGCTTGGTATAATGCTTGGACATGTATCTAAAAGAAGGCAGTTTGATTGAGTGCCTCTTATAATCGTTACATGAAAGATTTTCTCGTTGCTCAGGGCTTTATCACTAAATTAAGACCTTACTTGTTTCTTTAGTAGAGAAGTGTCTACTGAAGAAATCAAGAGAATTATCTTGTTGAAATATAGTTGAGAATCTTTTATCTTTGTGGAAGATTTGATGAAAAATTCAATGATATATAGCTTGAACCAATGCCATAATACCCACTCTCTCACCACACCACCTTTTTTTTATGATGGCAGATCGAGCCATTCTTTCATCCAAAAAAGACCTAATGATAATTAGAAACCCTCCAACACAATCCATGTTCTACAGTTGACAATTTCATGCATAAACACACAAGCAGTATGAACAAAGTCCACGCAGTGACGTACAAAGACCGACTACGGCCATGTTTCACCAGCGGTAATGACCACGGGCGCCGAAGCTGCTCGACTTCATGCCGCCGCTGAAGCACCACGTGTAAATAGGCGGAGATCCAGCATGCTCATCATCAATGCTAGAATCGTAGGACACCAACCTTTGGCTCGAGAACCACCTCCCTGTTGGAGTCGTAGGGGCAAACACTGACGAATTTGAGGAAGAGGACGACGAGCAACGGAGAGAGCAAACTGAATCGGCCACATTCTTCGGCTTCTTGAGGCTGGTCTTAAAGAACAAAACCCGTAAGAGATTAGATCTTGAGCACTTCTTCTCGGGGAAGGTATCATATTTGTTGGAACCCAAATAATAAGATGGAGGAGGCGTTAGAGGCGGTAGAGAGTCGTCGAAAGAGGGGATTTTGGGCGTGCCAGGCCGGGTCTCCCACACGAACGGAACCGAGCTGGGCGCGCCTCCATAGTAGACCCTGAACGACGGATTCGAAGCAGAACTCTCCTTGGAAAGCAGCCTGGAAAAGAACTTGTCATCTTGTTTGATCAACTGGTAAGGCTTTTGAGGAAGATCTGAGCCTCCATTGAGCATGTTTGGTGATGGATTGTGGTTGTACCAAAGTGAGTTTTAGGAGGCTGTGTGAAGGAGAAGAAGAGGGAGAGGGAGATGATAATGAGAGGCAAGAGAGGGAGTTAGAGATTTTGGTGTCTCTTTAAGGCAGGGACAAACCTGTTGGTGAAGTCACACGTGACCATGGAGAAAGATAGATGAGACATAAGATGTGGACGATAACAATGTAAGGATTTGATTGGTCTAAAGATCTGTGTCAATATGGTAACCCATATAAGGGCTTTGATGACGTAGGGTGTGCCTAGCTTTTAACATGTCTAGCCATTTTCTTGACCATGGGATATATTTGTAGCCATGGCCAAATAACATAGTGAGAGGATTCTTCAGCACTGTTTGCTTCTAGGTAAATCCGGTCTAAGATGGCATGATGAGATCACAAGACAAGATTTCAAGAAATTAATCAAACCTCTTTTAAGCATTCATATAATTTATTTTGACAAGATTTGACGTGTACAATGTATAAAAATATTTACACGTGATCCTCCTGCTAGAGAATATTTATGATGCTTGACACCAACTCAACCATACTCCGACGAATCCTTATCATCACTGTGCTTTTCATTATGGATGTCTTTCTTTTTATAACAGAGGATACTCAATTATTTTGGCTCGATAAATTCCCGTGGATGCATGTAAACCGTCCTATCCATTTGCATCAGATAAGGCTCAATCAAATAGAATGGAAAGAGTGGCCACCATGGTTAATTTGAATACGATACGTGATTTGACTATGGAGTTTGCCATATTCGAGCCGAGTGCTTGGCTGCTCAACCAACTCCGTAGGGGTTTTTTTCTTATAAATATCAAACATGGACCATATCATATATAACGTTGACATATGATATTTTTGTGTTGGATTGTACATTAAGGCGGACAATTTAACTTTAGGGACACTTAAAGTTGATAATTAATTCAAGTACAAGTAATTAATCATCATATGCTTTGTCATGATACCATGTGACCATCCTGTTGGCGTGAAGAGTTATCGAGACTAGGGCCATAACGACATCCAATCGAAAATGAGGAGAGTAAAATACGTGCAAAACTCTTTCAGTCTGTCACAAGCGTTTTCAAGTTCATGAAATGATGAAAAGGCAAGTTCAGGGACAAAAAGTGGACTCTTGCCTTTAAATTTTCGGGTTCGAAATTTCAAACATGGTATTCGAATCTAGGCTCCTAGATTGCGTAGTTCTTCGTTCAATGACTCATACATACATGTAATTTTCCATCACTTAAATACTGTAAGTTTTAAGTCGGAATTCCTAATTTCTAACGCGGGTCTTACAAAATCATTGTTGACAGTTCTTTACATTTTCCCCTTTTAGTGAAATTCCTATTTATGCCTCACATGCAGCCACGGTGAACCCAAATAAAATTGATTTTGCAATGGAAATTTAGACTATGGACCATAAGAGAATGCTTACATAAAGAGGGGTACGACTGCGACCAGATGCACTATTACTACAGAAATTGAGTATCACCTAGAAGTGGTCCATGAAGCCATGAATGCATATATCGATATTTTTGGCCCCTTGCCTTCTCCTTTCTTGACACATTTTCCTTTATTTATGTTGATTTTTCCCTTTGAAATGAGAAAAACGAGAGAGAACCACAGCATATCAAGCACCACTTTCTGGTCTATGAAAGAATTTGAGGCAGTTTAGTTTCATTTATTTTTGTTTTCATTCATATATAATGAAATCATTTAACTTGGCTTTAGCTTATCTAGATGCTTTTCAATTAAAAAGGATGTTTGGTTAAGTCTAATAAAAAGAATTTATCTAATATCATTATCGTTAAACAATATTTGTCATGTCTAACCACTAATTATACTTTTTTCTTATTTTAATGCTATGTAGCGACTTCGAGTTAATTATTGTCCTCAACATGGATTATAAATTGAAAAGAAAAAGTCATTAACCACTTAAATGAGGATATTAATCTTCCAATACAAAATAGTGCAATGAATAGACCGTATATTATTCATTACGTATTTATTCAAAGGACAAGATAAAAAAAGGAGAATTAAATTCAAAGAAATAGTACAATCGTGAGATAAACAAAATCACTTTTTTCTTTGTTTTCAAAATACTAAACTATGTTCATTTTTGTATTAAAATAGCTGATTTGTCTGCAACCAACCAAACAATGTCTTCACATGAAAATCAAATCTCTTTACAAAAACAAAGAAATTTATTTGTGTGAACGTAACCAAACAACCCCTTACATTTTTCGACTCATATTTAAACGTTAGAGGATCTCGGATCGAGTATAACTTAAATCCGAAAAGGTGGTGCTCAATATACTAGGCTTAATCATAGGTCTGATGACTAGCTAGGCTCGTTAAGCTTGAAGGTTTAAATGTGAGATGTTTCTAAGGACGATAGCCAGACAATTCCTAATTTCTATCTATCCGAGTAATACAAAATCTAAATGTTGAAGAAAGAACTCTGCTTTCTCAGTGGCGGTAATGGAGCGAAGGAGGGGCAAGCAGGCCACCGGCCCCCTCAGCCCCTTGCAAATTATTTTACTTTTTTTGGGTGTAGAGCGCCCCCTTGTTGAGAAAGACATAAAGTTCACTCAAAGAAAAACACCTTTTTTTTTTATATTAGAGACGTTTTCCACGATATTGATTGGGAGAACTTCTTACTCATGCACTCACATACGCGCGTGCGAGCACTAAGGAGCCAAGTGCACACCCAATGGGATCGCTTTTTTACTATTTATATGCCTAACAAAGAGGTGAAACTACCTCCTAGATATTTCTAGGGAAAATATCTTCCTATATGTTTCCAGTGAATACTAGATGTGGCTAATCTATCAGCCACATATTTCTAGAAAAAACTATCTTCCTAGATCCTAGATGTTATAGTGAATACAAGATGTGGACAATCTATTAGCCACATATTTTTATTTAAAATATTTTACAAGAAAATATCTCGATAATTAAGGAGTAGCCTAGAAAAATCTAAAATTCTTAGAAAAGAGATGAGGTGCAACATTTTCTTCAAAACTCTCCCGCAACGACTACTCTTCTCCCGGTGTGGATCTAGCAACCGTGCCAAGTTGCTTTTGAAGCTCTTCGAACTTTGCAACTCCAACTCCTTTAATGAACATATCTACAACTTGATCACTTGTTTTGACGTAATTACTTCTACATGCTTGATCCTTGCATGAAAAACTAGATTCTCTGCCAAGTTTATGGCCAATAGATTATCACAATACAATCGTGTTAGAGTAGTCTAGCGGTTGATGAAGATCCTCTAGAATTGTACTGGCCACATACTCTCTTGAGCTACCGTTTTATACTCAGCTTTTGTTGTAGACAATGATATAATTGGTTGTCTTTTATTGCATCATGACACCATTGTTACTCTGAGACTAAAAATGTACCCGGTAGTTTATCACTTTGTGTCACGATCTCTAGCAAAGTTTAGCATCGTAATGCCTTACTACCTCACACGACGCTTCTTTCTTACACAAGAGTTCAAGATCAAACGTACCCTTCACATACCTTAGTATTCTTTTGATTGCATTCAAGTGAGGCTTTCATGATCCCTCCATGAACCGACTTTCTACTCCCATAGTGAAAACAATGTCTAGCTATGTTATCGTTTGGTAGATAAGACTACCCACCAATTTGCTTGCATATAATTAGAATCTTTTAATTATCATCTTTTGACTGCACACAGCTTCATATTTCTATCCATAGGCATTGATATCGATGTAATCAAGCATTCCAAACTTTTCTAAGAGATCCCGTGCATACTTTTGTTGACATAGGAATAACACCTTCTTTAGTTTGCTCAACCTCAAGTCCTTGAAAGTGTTTTAGTTCTCCAAGCTTATTCATCTAAAACTGCATCGAGAGATTAGCTCTAATTTGACATCTCTCATTTATATCATCTCCGGTGATGATCAGAACATTCACATAGATCAGTGTTATTGCAAGCTTTTTTGTCTTCTACCTTCACAAACAAGCTTGAGCATGATGGGGCTACCAAGTAGCCACTTTGCACCAAGAATTCTACAATCTTCCAGTACCACACTCTTGGGGTTTATTTTAAGCCATAAAGCACCATCAATAAACTCGTAGACACGGCCTACATGAGTCTTACTCTTGAAACCGTCTACAGGAAGTCGACTTTTAAGTTTGTAAATCCATTTGCAGGATGCAGGAAATACCTCTTTTAAGTCTTGGCACCAACTATCATGTCTCATTCTGTCTTAGTGCTTGCACCTTATAAGGCTTCCTTATACATAGATGGCTCAATTACTGTAACATCTTCCTTTAACGCTAGATTTGCATATTCAGGATTTGGTATTCTCTGCCTTGTTGATCTCCTTAGTTGAGGCACTGGCTCTTTAGGTTCTTTTACCTAAATTGGTTAAAGTTCTTATGTCATTCTTGGACATACATTGATTCGCCACGGACTCTTTGATTTACTCAATAACCGTGCTCGGACGTCTTCTCTTCCAACAATGGTTTCGCCTTCTGTGCTTACTTCATCAATTGTTAGGGCATTATCAGGCTCATTATTTTCTTCCGTTCTTTCATGAACCTCTTCTTCAATTTGCCTTGAATTTGGTAGTTCAATGACTTGTGATGGCCACCACGATAATAATTCGTCGAACACCACATTTCTAGAAGTGTAACATTGCTCTATTGTAGGAACACAACACTTTCACACTTTTCTTTGATCATCATAGCCACAACTGTATAGCAATCTGCCTTCTTATCGAACTTGCTTCATAGGTAATCGGGCACGAATACATAACATACACACCCCAATACTCTGAAATGGCATACCGTGGGCTTGCAATTCCATAGCTTCTTGCATGGTGTCATAAAACCAAGCCCTGCTTGGGGTAGCTTGTTGATCACATGCGCCATTGTCTTCATACATTTGACCCAAAACCTGGGTGGAACATTCTTTACATGTTGCATGCTCTTGCAAGTCTCCACCAAAATACATATTCTTCATATTAGCAACTCTGTTTTGTTGTGGCGTACTTGGACAAGTAAATTGTCAACGTATCTTACACATTTGCAATTATTTCATAAATTCGTATGATGTGTACTCTCCTTCGTTACAGCATAAAAGCATTGTATCTCTTTACCTATTTATTTCTTTCTCTGTTTTATCTTTACACTCCTTAAATTTTGTTAATGC